AGCATGTAATTCATATGTATATATACATGAAAGAATTAGAGATATAGGTGACTGGTTTTCAACATTCTATTACCTGAGTTAGCCACTAAGGGAAGGGAGGAGAAAGTGGTGCTCTGAAGTGTTTCTCACTGTGGCCTGTGGCCTTGCCCGTGGACTGAGTGGACCCAAGCTTGAGCTGTCCTTTGCTTTGTTTTGCTAACGGATGCCTCGATTTCCTCTTCCTAGTGTGATTTTGATTGTGGCCATTTCCAATGTGTTTGACCTGAAAGGAGAAGCAGGTGAGTTGTGTTCTTTTGATTGTGGTGTTTTTCTCAAACTTTGGGAATCAAATCCAGGACCTCCCATGGGCAGGACAGACACCCTGCCCCTGGGCAGCACCCGGGATGCGGTGTCAGCTATTCTTTTGATCACTAGCAATTTTCCTGTGGCCCCAAATGCAAGACTCTAGGAGTTGATTTGTGTGTGTGTGTGTGTGTGTGTGTGTGTGTGTGTGTGTGTGGAACTGGGGATTGAACTCAGGCCCTTGCGCTTGCCAGGCAAGCGCTTATTCTACTGAGCCATCTCCCCAGCCCCTATGAGTTGATTTTGTCATTCAGGTTCCAGGGGCCACACACCTGCCCTCCCGCCCCAGGGAGACCTGGCCTTCAGCGATGACAGCATCCGGGCCCCCGGGGTGCGACCCTTACATCCCAGGGCCTCCCAGTTTGTGCCGCCGATGGGAATCCAGGACAGTAAGAGCCACCTACCTTCTGTGACTTTATAACACCTTGCAGTACTTTCACCTGAGGGGCCCCTGGGTGGGTGATCACCTGGCAACCACGGAAAGTGGTGTCGCTGCTCAGAGGCCTGGGAGTGGAGTACTGATCCGGGAGGGTTTGGACAGATGAAGCAGGGGCACCGCTTGGCCACCTGATGCCAGCGAGTGTCCTGGGCTTTCCACCTCCTCCCTGCTCCTGCATTTTAGGCAAGGATCTGAACAAAACCTGCTGTCTGAATGGGGGCACCTGCATCTTGGGGTCCTTCTGTGCCTGCCCCCCCTCCTTCTATGGGCGCAACTGTGAACGCAACACATACACACAGTAAGCCACAGAGGGAGGAGGTAATTTCCAAGATTGGGAGGCTGAGGCAGGAAGATCACAGCAAGTTCGTGGCCAGCCCAAACTACATGGCAATATTCTGTCTCAAAAAAAATCAGGGCAGTCTCATCTGTTCTTCCTCAGGAAATGTGGCTCTGTGCCCCATGGCGCCTGGTTGCCCCAGAAGTGCTTCATGTGCAGGTGCTGGCTCGGCCAGATCCGCTGTTTCCCCCAGACCTTCCTCCCTGGCTGCGGTGAGCTGGGTCCCTTCTTGTCCTGGCGGATTCCTCAGTGGCCCAGGGTGCCCCCATAACAGATGGCTGCCGAAGAGACTCGGTCAGCACAGTGCCTGCCACACCCTTGGGATGTGCCCCTCGACCCCCGCCGCAGAGGGCCCTTGAGGCTGCTAGGCACCGATGGCCTGTGGACCTCTCCCGATGGGCAGGAGCCTCATGTCTGGGCCCCTGAGGTGGCCCTCATTGCCCCTTACACCCTGAGCAGCTTTTTCCTGCACCCTAAAAGGCCTGGGGGACGGGAGGACTACCTGCTCGGGCCCCCCTCTTGTCCCTCTCTCGGACAGGATCTTTCTTTCCCTTAATAAATATATTCTGCTCATTAAAAAAAAAAAGACCTGAGGGAATGGGCGGTCCCCTTAACCTCTACTGACTTGAAGAGGACAGGAAAGGGATGGGACCAGAAGAGCCTCCCACTCCAGGGGGTGATGTCAGGCCCTGGGCTTGGAGAGCGGGGACCACATTTTCCTCTGGGA